TGCCTGCACTATTATCTTTACTTCAACCAGATACCCATGACTTCCTCTAATCCTAAACTAACCCATGTACAAACTCCTCGAATGACAACACAATATTTCTATTTTGATTGGGTATTTCACAGGCGCCTCTGGATATGTGGCCCATCTCTTCCTGTTTCCATTCAAAATTCCTTTGAATGTGTTTTCCTGCAATGTCATGATACAAAACCCTTTCCTCTTGTCCCTATTGTCAAGAGCAACAGAGGAACTGGACACACACACTCACACACACACACACACTGTCCTTTCACTATGGCCCATTAACAGAGGTGCCAAGCAACACCAATATTCACATAAAGAACATGTAAGGGTTTAGTTATCAGCAACAAAGCCTGGGCATCCATATGGATAGTTGGGTGTCGTTCTGTAGGGACAGGCTCACATCAGGGACACTTTCTGACTTGTCTTTGACAGTAACTGCCTCTGTCACTCAGTAACTTCAACCAGCTACTCTGTCTCAGGGTGGCTTTCCTAGCATCCATCAAACTTTTAGGAATGCCACTAAAGATCTGAAGGGGTAAACTTTCCTTCTGGTGTTCTTAAATGGTTGGCTACAGGTGTAGCTGTGACTTTTTATCTCAAAAGTTATGCCTCACAAATGTTCAGACTGTGATTTGGTTCCCTCCCAAAGTACTTGAAACTATAACGTGATTCTATTTTAATAGGTTTTCCTGCCACTTCAACGTTAATTTAGAAAGTAAAACTAAAAATGCAATGGAACTGCTTGTTTTAGTGAGCAATGAACTGACTGCCAACCACTTTATTCTAAACAAATTCACTGGTTATATGATTTCCTTTCATTCAGCATGACATATTCACTTTAGAGACAGTCAAGTCCTGCTGATTCTGTCGCCTTCTCTAGTCTGTGATTGGGAGTGACAAGCACTCCGCCAAGGCCACTCTACAAAAGACCCTCATTGGAACTCAGGCTTTCACCTGTGCCACAGTAACCAGAGGGCTCGCTCACACCAGGATGGCAGACCTTCGGGATGCTTCAGTGGGTCGAGGGCCCTGGTGCCAAACCTGGGCGCCCGCATTTAATATAAGAATCCACACAGTCTAAGGATAGAGCTGTCCTGCAACCTCCACAGCCATCCTGTGGCATGTGTGCACCACTCACTCACTCACTCACTCACTCACTCACTCACTCACTCACTCACTAAATAATCGAAAAAATTCAGATTACAGGAGCCCTGTTGCCACAGTTTCCAATTTGGTAACTGTGAGGTGGAACCCCAAACAATAGATTACTAATAAACTCCCCAGCACCCTCACTGGTTCTGGGGAAAACTCTTCAGAACTGCCGCTCTAGATTGGAACCTCGAGAAGCTTCTCTAGTGTGTCACGCCACAGAACCTTTGAGAGGTGTGCGTAAACTCTCATTCACATGATGGATTGTGTTATGGTGTCTACAGAATGCAATGCATTTCAGACCTGATGTATATGACTAACTCCACAGTAATAATACAAGAAGACTCAGAAAATTCCAAACAGTTAAAATGCAGCTTTGAATTTATGCAAATGAAATTATGGCAATAGTTGAAACAGATGGCTGGAAACTCATTGCCCTGACTATATAAAAACACAGTACTGCTAAGGACCCATGGGGACTGTGCTACCAAGGAGCATCATTTGAGCTATCAGAGTATAGAGTCTCTAGAAATCCTGGGTTATGTTAGAAATCAAAGAGATACATAGAAGAATTAGGAAAGAAAGGAAGGTGGGGAGGGAGAAAGGAAATAGAGGAAGGAGGGAAGAAGGGAGGGAGAGAAGGAAAGAGAAAGAAGGGATGGAGGGAGAGGAGGAAGGAAGGACTAAAACAATTATGCTCTGTGCTTCGATGTTTGGTCATCTCAGTGAGAGAGCAAAGGCCAAGGGTGATGAAAACAAGGACCTAAGACCAGGGGATGCGAAGTCTGAAAGCAAAGTCCACGCCAGCTACAGAGAGCAGTTTGTTTGGCCAACCATAGTTGATGTGGTTTCAGGGTACGAAGGAAAACTTGACTCGTATGACAGGAAGATAGAAAGTGGTAGAATTAAAGAGATATGGGAAAGGAGCCAGGCGTGATGAGGTCAGCCTCTGAGCTCCTATTGCCTGGCACGGGGTTCTTTGCCAATGATTTGTTTCTACCCTATCCACTTTTGGCATTTTTAGACCCCCTGATGTTAGACAATATATTTCATTTCATAAAATTGCTTTTTAGATATAAGTCCCAATTTTTGAAAAGAGATTTGTTCATCTGTATTTCCAGGTATCTATGTGCCTTCCTACCAGGGAAGCCAGAGAGCATGACATCACCTTGAGCTAAAGTCACAGGTGCTTGTGAAGGACTCGATGTAACCAAGACCTTGGCAAGGTCCCTGGCAAGGCCAGTGAGCACCAAGCCATCTCTCCTGTCTCAGAAGCCCTGATTGTTATGATTTTTTAAAGCCAATTTTCTGATTGAAGGTGGACTCTGTGTGTGTGTATATCTGTATGTGTTTACTAAAGTTAATATCCTGCACTAGCATCCAGAAGATCTCTGTCCAGAAATAATTGATTATTATACAACTTCACATCTTTTTTGATACCAGGGTGATTTGAGAGATAGTTATCAAATCACAAGATGCTATTGGAAAATGGTAATATTCTTTGATTTATGTCTTATTCCAATTAACTTTACAGAAATATCAAAGATAAAACAAGATCTTAAAATCAGTCTTTCTCAGAAGTGATAGTGGTTTTGTTGAAATCCAGTGCTCAGATGTTCACGATTCCATATTGATCGATTCCCACTAGAGTCTGTTTCTTGGGTGGAATAGGACACTACAAGGCTAGCTGCAGCTGACTTGGCTTGAGATCTCTTTTCTTCCTTGAGGTTGCAGGATGATTGTGGATACTCTTTCTGGTCACGATGCTCTTGATACCCGGATAGCAAAGGGGAAAAATACTAACACACGGATCAAAGGAGCAATTCCTAGATCTATGTGACAAAATATTGATGCCCAGGTAGCTAGCCACTGAAAATGATGGCAGAAGTGATGTCTGCCCTTAACCAAGAAGGTTGGAAGTGCAGAAGTTATCAGGGATCACAAGAGACCTCAGGGCTAAGCGAGGAATGGCAACTGTTCACTCAGCCTGGATCCCTCCCCTAGCCTGGATCCATGCCCCCAGCCTGGATCCCTGCCCCCCAAACCTGGATCCTTGCCCCTAGTCTCAATCCCTGCCCTGCTGGCTACCACAAACTCTTCTCCTGAGCATGAGGCAAGCAGGGTGCAGACAAAGTAAATAACTCCAGCTAGTGGCTGATCCTGGACCTAGATACAAGTCCTTCCTGCTTTTAATTGAACTATACTGAATCCCACATGTTGCTAGGGCAGGGAAAGAGAGGACTCTTCAGGAATTCCAAGCGTTTTGCTTAAGCAAAGACATAAAGAATCAGGGCTTATTAAAAAGCATTGCATACTGGTTCGTAAAATCTGGAAACTCAAGAGACAAAAATAAATATTCCCAGCATGCAAAGGTGACCCTACCATGGCCAGGACTTTAAAAGTTGAAAACACCTGTTTTAAACTATGATTAAAAAAAAAAAAAACTTCATTTCTACTTCATGTCTAAAGCTTGTGACCTTTCTTGTTTTGCTGACTGAGGGGGCAGTCACCAGCTTTCTGAGGAGTGGGACTCGGGGGACATGTGATGGTTGGAGCATTTGCAACTTTCACGCAGCGAAGAGCCAAGGGCACTCTGAGAGACCCACAGCAGGTTCTCCTTCCAGTTCTCCAGTGTGAACCGTTATCTCTCTAGGATAGCTGTAAACAGGGCGTTAACTTCCTCTTGCAGCCCTCAAGCCTCTGCTAAATCCTTGTCCAATTGTCCTACCAAGCACAGGACACTTGTCCAGTTACATGGTGATCCCTGGAGCGAAAGCTGCCAATCACTGCTTGTTAATGCCGTACCGCAATGGGCTGAAGCTGAAAGCATATCTTTTCTGGAAAGCTTACTGCTTTATTATCATGTGTGTGTGTGTGTGTGCGCATGTGACTGCAACATGTACACACATGTGTGTTTTCACCCACCACTCTCCACTGCGTTGTTGTTTTGATTTGTGACAGTGTTTCTCACTGAACCGGTACTCACTGGTTCCAGCAGTCTGCCTGGCCAGTGGGCTCCAGTGTCCTTCTGTCTCCGCCTTCCCCATGCTGGAATTAGATTCACATACTACCATGCCCAACTCTTACAAGCTGAACCATCCATCACCACACCAGCCAAAATCATACAGTATTGGGGACCTACCTCATTCCTATTGCAGAATGAGATACAGACCAGCTTCATCTATTTGGAGAGTAGGGATTCCTTTGAAAATGTTTAAAAAAAAAAACTAAAAATGGTATTACATCTATTTAGTCCACTACGTTGGCATGCCAAATGTAGGAGGAGGAGCTGCTTTTTCATCCTGGCCAACCACACAGAACTGAAATAATCACACAGAAATTGTATTAATTAAAACACTACTTGGCCCATTAGTTCTAGTTTCTTATTGGCTCTTATATTAATTTTACCCATTTCTATTAATATGTATATTGCCATGTGGCTTACCTGCAAAGATTCAGCACATCTGACTCTGCAAGCTCCATGGGGTCCTTCTGACTCTGCCTTCTTCCTCTCAGCATTTAATTGAGTTTTCCCTGTTTACCAAGTTCTACCTTGCTATAGGTCCAAAGCAGTTTCTTTATTCATTAATGGTAATCGCAGCACACAGAGGGGACTTTGACATTGTTTCTTATGAATTAAGTTGTCTTTCCTTTGTCAGCAATGATTTCCTAGCTCTCCAAATGCAGAGACTTACATAAACATAGCAGCATGGTGTAAAACAGAAAACATGATGTTGACTCTGCACTGCACATCCCTGCCTGGAACATAAACGGAAAGCCAAATGTTCTGGTTATAAACGCGGTGGTGAGTGACTCATTTCTGCTTGCAGTGGGAAAAGCTCCAGATGACCACAAGTGAGAGAAGGAAAATCTTCTGCTCCGTCACGTTCCACGTCATCGCCGTCACCTGCGTGGTGTGGTCTCTGTATGTGCTGATCGATCGGACGGCAGAGGAGATCAAGCAAGGTAACGACAATGGTAAGGACATGCCACCCTCCCTCCTCCTCCTCTGGATTCCCATGCTGGCACCCAAGGGCAGACAGGGAGCTGCTGCTGTAGTCATGGTAAGGACATGCCTCTCTCCCTCCTCTACCCCTGGCTTCCTGTGATGGCACCCAGGGCAGACAGGGAGCTGCTGCTGAAGTTTAGGTTTCTGTTAGTTTCCAGGTAGGACACCTGAACAAGGGCCAGCGCTTGCAGCCGAGCCTTCTCCAATTATCTCCTTGGTCAACTCTGTCTAAAAAGCATGGGCCACTTGGGATCCCAAGTAAGGACTTGGGAAGTGTTAGGTCCCGGAGAACCTTTGAGTCAGAGATTCATGGCTATCATTCACTTCTTGGGAATTCCCAGAGGCTCAGGGAACATCAAGCTCGGTCCAGTACGAGAACACAAACCATTAGAGAAGGGGAGAGTTTCAGAGCGGTGGCGGCACATGGCTTTAATCCCAGCGCTAGGGAGGCAGAACAAAGGAATCTTTGCATCTGAGGCCAACCTAGTCTACAGAATGAGTTTCAGGAGAGCCAAGACTACACAGAGAAACAAAGAAAAGAAAGAAAAGGGGAGGGGTGGATAGAGGGTTTTAAAGTTTTGTTTAATTCACCCTACCTGCTGCTTCTTTGAAGACTCACAGTAACACCACTGTAGTACAGATATGTACTGGGTAACTGATGCATGGGATTAGCACTGTAGCTGAAAAATTTAGCCACACCCAGTTTGTGAAGGAATGTGTCCAGGTATATTCTTAAGGTTAAAACCTTCTCAGGCTTGTCCACTTAGGGGCAGCAGTGCATACCAACCTGCCTGTACTGGGAGCTCCCAGAAGTGGCAGGGATTTTGAAGGTTCCTGGCCTCCAGGACTCCTGGTGTGCACAGTAGTATAAGGGAAGATGCAACAGAGACAGCCTTGAAGATTCCAGTGTCCTTTACTAAAAACAAAACCACAAGAAAAGTCTAAATACAAGAGAAGCAGGTAGGATGGGAAATTTTTTTTTTTAGAATTCATTTATGTAACATCAACTCATTTATAACTGCATCAGTTACAGCAAATGTCGGGGTTTTGCTACACTATCATTCTCCCCAAAGTTTTCGCATGCAAGGCTTCATATTAAATCTGGATTTAATAAATTCTCATTCTCATCCCTGCAGGTAGGATCTTAAAACAATGATTGCACATAATAAGTACCAGACACCTGGCCATGCCTAAACAGATGCAGACTGTCCCCATTTCACGTCACCCAACTCTCCCCGTTAGGAGTAAAGGGTGATCCTAGCTACTCAGGGCAGATCTTCCTACTTTCGGATGACCAAGTAGAGCCCCCACTGGAGAACCTCGTATTTGCATGACTAGACATTCTCCTGACTTGGCCACATGGTGATGATGTACACGAAGCAGGACTTCATTTCACATATGTCATATGCAGACAAGATTTCCATGGGAAACCCTCTTCTTTAGCCAGCTGCGCTTGTCTGCTGCCTGAGACACATGAGTTGTGAGTGCTTACAGTGCCAGGAGGTTAATAGTCTCACAGGGAGAAGAAACCACACCCCTCCTTTCTTCTGTCCCCCTGCTAATGCTCCCGTGGCCATCCTTCTGTTCTTTTACCTTTAGCGCTGCTTGAATGCTCATAACCACCCCCTCTAGTTTTATACTCCGCTCAAAATATACTCCAAAGCTTGCATCTCCCTCCCTCCTGAGAGCATCTCTGGAAGTCTTCCAGGGACTCAAGGTCCGTATCCACACAATCTCCCACATCCAGCCTCAGCACCAGAAGAAAGACATCCCTAATAACCAGATCCCCCTCCGTTCTCTGGCCAGTCTCTCTTCTCCCTGAAATCAGTCACCGAATCCTCTGCATTCTGCCTCTATCCCTGGACGCTTTCCATTTCTCTCCTTCCCCACCGACAATATTCATGTGAAAACTGTGTCTTTATACAAAGACAGACAAAGCCTCTTACCTAGACCATCTCCATTCTCCCCACCTTCGACTCGTGTTCATTAACTACTATGAAATTATGAATCCAAACATTATGCCCACTTAGAATTGTTAGTATGTAACCCCAATTTCTTCTGGGGACTCTGCTGCCCCGAGGACCTATGTGTCAGCAATTGGATCAAACATCTTTCTTTCCCTGGGAATCTATTCTAAATTCCTGCTCAGCTCTTTCCCTCTGTGCAAAATAATTCTTTCCAAGTTCTCTTGCCCAGCATGTATGCACGTGCACACGCGTGCATGAGCGCGCGCGCGCACACACACACACACACACACACACACACGGGGAGAGTCAGTGCAAAAGCAAGAGACTGCTCCCACACAGATCTCTAACCTAACTCCTAGGAAAATCAGCTCAAAGAACCCAGGACCAGTAACACTTTGTTTCCTAGGAATTCACTAGAAATGTACATTCCAGCCTTCTATTGCCCTAGACCTCTGCATGTGGAACTGATGGAGGATGTGTAGCTCCAAAAAGGCACCACCTTGTTGCGCGTTACCACAGCCCCTGACACTCACCTTTGGGTGAGCCTCCACTTTCTTTGAGTGTTGATTGTCTATGGAGTTTCTCTGCCTTCACAAAGCCTGCTGCTTTCCCTGGACACCCAGACTTACTCCTTATGTGACTGTGTCATGCAGCCTTGCTGAGACTCTTAGCCCCACCGAATGTCTCCCAACTAAGTCAACACATCATTTACTTGTCTCCCTGGAAGCCCAAAGTAGGCTTGGAGCAGTGTAGGGAGTTGTTATCTCTGCTCACCACATCACTGTCTAAGACAGTGTGCAGAAGTATATACCCAAGCTTTCCCACTCTTTCGTTTGTAGAATTTTCTTTGAAATGCTTCTTTCTCATTTCTATGTGGGTCACTGTCTTAACTGGAGTTTCTATTTCTGTAATGGAACACTATGACCAAAAGCAGGTTGGGGATGAAAGGTTTTATTTCCACTTATACTTCCAGGTAACAGTCCTCACTGAGTGAAGGAAGGACAGGAGCTTAAACAGGGCAGGAACTTAGAGGTAGGAGATGATGTAAAGGTCATGGAGGGGTACTGCTTGCTGGCCTGCTCTTCAGGCTTATCATGCATGGTTTGATAAGCCTGCTTTCTTGCAGAAACCAGGACAATCTGGCACCACTCACAATGGGCTCAGTCCTCTCCCACTGGTTACCAATTAAGAAATAAGTATGGTGCTTTCTCAAAAAATTGGGAATCAAGATCCAGCAATACTACTCTGAGGCATATACCCAAAGGATGCATGCTCATACCACAAGGACATTTGCTCAACTATGTTCATAACGGCATTATTTGTAATAGTCAAACCTGAAAACAAACCAGATGCCCCTCAACCAAGAAATGGATAAAAAAAATGTGGTACATTTACACAATGGAGTACTACCCAGTTTAAAAAGCAAGGACATCTTGAAATTTGAAGGCGAATGGATGGAACTAGAACAAAAAAAAAAAAATCCTGAGTGAGGTAACCCAGACCCAGATAAACAAACACAGTATGTACTCAGTCAGAGATAGGTATTTGACGTAAAACAAAGGATAACCAGCCTACAGTCCACAACCCTAGAGAAGCCAGAAAACATACATGGATCCCCATGGGAAGGGGAAATAGAGAAGATCTCCTGAGTTAATTGGGGGGAGGGGGGAAAGGGAGTAGGAAGGGGAGAAGGAGAGTGGGGAGGAGAAGATGAGGGATCAGGAAGGTTGAATTAGGGGAAGGTAAGAGATGGAGAGCAAGAAAAGATATATTTTAATAGATGGAGCCATTATGGGGTTAGAGAGAAACCTGACACTAGGGAAATTCCCAGGAACCCACAAGGATGAGCCCTGCTAAGAATCTAAGCCATAGTGGTGGGTACCTGAACTACTCTTCCCCTGTAATCAGATTGATGACTACCGTAATTGTCATCATAAAACCTTCATCCAGTAGCTGATGGAAGCAGATGCAGAGATCCACAGCTAAGCACTGGACAGAACTCTGGAGTCCAGTTGTAGAGAGGGAGGAGCGAGAATATGAGCAAAGGGATCAAGACCATGATGCAGATATCCACAGCAACATCTGGCCTGAGATAGTGGGACCTCACTGACTCCAGACTGACAGCTGGGGAACCTGCATAGGACTGAACTAGGCCCTCTGAATGTGATTGATAGCTGTGTGACTTGGGTAGTTTGTGGGGCCACTGGCAGTGGAACCAGTATTTATCCCTAGTGCGTGAACTGGCTCTTTGGAGCCCATTCCCCTATGGAAAGATACCTTATTCTACCTAGATGGGGGGGGGGTGTGGTCCTGCCTCAAGTGATGTGATAGACTTTGTTGACCCCCATGGGAGGCCTCACCCTCTCTGAGGATTGGATGGGGGGGGATGAGGGAGTGGGATGTGGGGAAGGAGAGGGTACTGGTATTGATCTGTAAAATGAGAAAAGATTGTTTTAAAAAATAAATTAAATTTAAAAAAAGGAAAAAAGTGTCTTTCAGCTAGATCTTATGGGGGCATTTTCTCAATTGAGGCTCCTAATTATCAGATGACTCTAGCTTGTGTTAAGTTGACATAAAACTGGCCAATACAACTGACCCTTTGCCAACTTGATACTTAAACATCATTTTTCAGTTAGAAAGTGCCTTTCCTCGTGTATCCACAAGATGGCGCCTTAATATTAATAACATGTCATAAAACATACATAACATTAAAAGGCACAGTTCTTATAAATTCAAACACATCAAAAGTTCAGTCTCTTAAAAATATCCAATCTCTGTAAAAATCCAAAGTCTCTTTAAAAAGTTCGAAGTCTTTCCGCTGCCAGCTCCTGTAAAAATCAAACTAACTCAAATGCTTTCTCCGAGAAGGAAGGACCAAGGCACAGTCACGATCTCCAAAAGCCAACTCCACCATTGTAAATAACTCAATGCCCCAATGATCTGGGACTCACTCACAGTCTTCTAGGGGACCTCTAAGGGCCATGAGTCACTTCTTCAGCACTGCCGTCTGCAGCACAACACAGCTACAATACTTTAGACAGCAAAAACCCCTACAGAAGTCTGATTTTCCAATCAAGACCTTGGTGCTGGTGATGTAGCTCAGTTAGGAGAGTGCCTGCCTGGTAGCGGCAGTGATGTTGGTCACCATGACCACATAAACAGGGTGCAATGGCTGCATCCGTCATCTTGGTGAACAGGCAAGTGACAGAAAGATCGGAAGTTCAGTCATTTTTGGCTACAGAGCGAATTCAAGGCTAGGGTAGGCTATATGAAACTCTTTTTTAAAAAAAGTTTAGTTGATAATCCAGATTTGACTTTCATGTGGAGATTAGATAGTGTTTGTATTATTTCTTCTGCCTATTAGAAACCAGAATGAGATCATCTCTCTCTTTGGTATTATTTTATATTTGGTATCTTTGGTCGCTTAGGAAGCAGGTCTTTGTGGAGCAGAAGAGTCTGTGGCTCTCCACAGAGCTGTGTACTTGTGGGACAGCCTTTCCCCCACATACGACAGGGCAGCATGCATATTTGGCAGAGTCGTCTGAAGCCCCCGCTACACACACACACTGTGAGATGACACCGTCGGGCTGAGCTCTTAGCATCTTCATCTTCCTCAGGCATTGTGAATGCTGATCCTGAATTTACCTTTGAAGTTACTGGAGAAGGAACGTATAATTTAAAAAGCTAAGGTATTTAAAATCCATCCAGAAAACCTCCAGAAATGTCTAAAGAGGAACAAATTGTCCTTTCCAACCAGGACAGATGCTGAGTCTGAAGCAGTGAATTTTCCTGTAGTGACAACAGGAGATAAACAGGCCCTTTGTGTAGTTGAAGATGCTGCTCTCTTAGAGTAGGCGTGTCTGGTGCCCCCCACATGGCACACCACCTCCCTGTCTCACATTAGCAATCTAAATTATTGCTGTCACTACCTCTTCCACTTGAGCAGCAATTGGTCCTCTTGCTTCTTCCTTTCATGTTCTACACAAATAGTTCAGTATATTATTTTATTTTTTTAAAAAAGACTCATTAACCCAGGCTTTTTCAGACCCAGGCCAGCTGGCCTTGGTGAGTTCCCAATAGAACATCCCCATTGTCTCAGTGTGTGGGTGCACCCCTCGGTAAAACCGGTCTCACTGAACATAGCGGACAATGAAGACTACTGAGAACTCAAGAACAATGGCAATGGGCTTTTGATCCTACTGCACATATTGGCTTTGTGGGAGCCTAGGCAGTTTGGATGCTCACCTTACTAGACCTGGATGGAGAAGGGAGGACCTTGGACTTCCCACAGGGCAGAGAACCCTGATTGCTCTTTGGGCTGACGAGGGAGGGGGACTTGATTGGGGGAGGGGGAGGGAAATGGGAGGTGGTGGTGGGGAAGAGACAGAATTCTTTAATAAATAAATTAATTAATTTTAAAAAAGACCTATTAAAAACAATAATAGTTTGTGCTATGAATTGAATGTTTCTTCTACAGGGATTTTATTATCTTTTAGAATACTGCTGTGTTTTCAGGGCTGATCTTTTGGCACTGGGCAACCAAATATTGGCTGTCGCTCCTCTAGGTCAGGACCACGTCTTATTATTCAGAGAGCACTTGGCATTGGTGGAAGTTCAGAACAGTTCACTGCCCATAGCTGTAGCAGTAGCCATAGCCAAAGTGATAACAGTAGCCACAGCCATAGCCATAGTCATAGCCAAAGTGATAACAGTAGCCACAGCCGTAGCCACAGTCATAGCCAAAGTGATAATGGTAATTATAGCTGTAGCCATAGCCACGGTGATAATGGTAGCCACAGCCGTCACCATAGCCAAAGTGATAATGGTAGCCATAGCTGTAGCCATAGCCACAGCCGTGGCCATAACTGTAGCTGACTTCTGGAGATCAGCACAGCCCTAATATGCAGGCCAGGGTGCTAGCTCTGTCTCTTCTCTGGCAGTTGTGCTGAAGGAAATCATCTCTTCAAAGCACAGCTTCCTCATTTGGGAAACCAAGAAAGCTAGACTCTGTGCCTTCTAGAGGCTCTTTGATATGACTCGCTTTCAGACACCATGAAGCGGGTTTTTGCATCGGGTTAATTGAGATGTGTTTATATATGTGTCCTGCCACACCATTCGTAGTTTATTTACACTGAATTTTAAATTTTAATATTATGTAAGAACTTGGTTGGAATATTAAAAGAAATTGAGAAAAAATATACACTGTCTTGTTTAATTTACGAAGCTGCAAAGGGGAAAGCAGAGAGCATCAAGCCAAGCACACTTCCTGTGCGTGTGATCAAAGCGCCGGCAGCCACATTCCAGCTTAGCAGTGTGATATTTTGTCAAGACATGCGGTGTCCCTGCAGCTTCTGGGCCCTCTCCTTCACTGCTGAGAGATTTAAAGGCTTTAAACATCCTAGGTGTTCCCAGTCACGTGACATGGTATCCAGAGCCCTAAGAAATACCATACTTAAAAGAAAGATATAGAGATAGACACTGGTTTACAGATGAGAAAAAAAAATGTTAACTTGCTTGATCCGCAGCCACATTACAAGCCCATCTGGTGCCTTCTGATTTCTCTGATTTGACTTAAAGAGAGAACAGATATATTTAAGATATCCTAGTCTGTGTGCCAGAGAGGACAGAGAGCTGGCTCTGCATTTTCTGAGAGACAGAATTCCTAGGGAAGAAGCGTGTCTGAAAGGCCCAGGAACTGTGGCCCAAGTTATAAGCCACTGCCATTTGTTTGGAAGCTTGAAATAAGAACTCCCTAACAAATTCAGTGCACACGGCTGCTCCTTCCTTCTGTGTAAAGACCTTTTCATTGATTTTGGGCGGTCTTTTTAAGGTATCCCTCTGGTGAAAAGAATTAAAATAGCTAGGGATGCTGGGTGCATATGGTGAGGCTGTATACAGCGGCCTCTCTGTCAATGCCATGGTTGGCAGTTAACTGGATTTCAGACCCTTGGATTCTGGAAGCATCCGGAAGTTGGAGCCCACAAGAAGTGAGAAATATCTGAGTGTGGGCACCACAGAAATCTCTGCTCTTACTGTTCAGCTTAGCCAGCCAGAGGCATGGAACCCTCAAGTCACTCGGACCACCATAGTGGCTGTTCACATGCCACACCGTTTCTTCACTGAGCTAACACCAAGAACTCCATGGGGAGGCTTGACTTTCACCTCCATTTTTTAAGCAATGTGTCAGTTGGTCTCTACGACGTAAAAATCCACCCACACATGGTGACTTAGAACAGCGACCATTTGTTTCACCTCATTCTGTGTTTTGATTAGGCATGTGTTCTGCCTGAGCAGGGTGGGCTGGTCTCTACAGTCAACCGCTGCACCTGGAGAGAGCCGGCACCCCAACCAGCAGCTGCATGGTCAAGCATAGGTTCCTTTATCTGTCTGGCAAAGGAAGGAGATTAGTTAGAACAGCAGGTGCAGTTAAACTGTATAGGAGTTTGGCTATTTTTTTAAAATATTTGTGATGTGTGTGTGTGTGTGTGTGAGCGCGCGCGCACATGTGACAGTACACTGAAGGGCAAAAATTGGAAAGTAGACGTAAGCACTCTAACAACATAAACTGAGATCATGTCCCTTTAAATATTAACAGCTGAGCTACCTATCTCTCCGGCTTGGCTTTTGTTATTGTTCTAATCATCTAGCGTGATCTAGCGTGATCACCTGCCTTCCTAACTTGACAGCTGCGGGGAATTCAAAAAGGAGCAAGATGGCTCAGCAAGTTAAGGCACTTGTGGTGAAGCCTGAGGTACCTAAGTTTGACCCGTGGGACTTCTCCAAAGTTGTGACTCAGGAAGTCCGGACGGTCTCCAGCACCCCCCCCCCCCAATTTAATATTCTCAGTCCTTCCATTTGCTCCAAAGCGAATTAATAGACATTAGTAGCATTTCTAGTGGAATTCTTCATAGACAATGTGAAGTATTTTGAAAAGGGCATTTGCTTTTTCAGACAGCAAAAACATTGTTTTTCTGGGTCAAAACCAAAGGTTGACCTAGAATGCTATGGCAATAGAGATCATGCAGTTTCACAGAGAGTAGCGGGAAGTAATGTCACTAATTGAAGCATGAATTCGGTGTTTTGTCAACCTCATGGCACAAACTGCATCCTTTTTCTCACTGGAGCGGGCGCTAATGAATCCGTAGTTTACAAAGAGAATGGGGACAGCCCACGCATGCTGCAGCCTGAACCTGTATTGGGACAGGGAACAGCTGGTTTCCAACATTACACAGATAGAACTTTAGATAAAGTATAAGAGAGAAGTAGCTGAAGGGAGCTTCCTGGCTATGCAGAAACTTTCTTGTGAGTTCTACTGGATCCTCCTAATCCACTGTAAAGATAAGCTTCCTATTTGATTACTAAAAGAAACATAGAAATACAGGTAGGTGAGCAAAGTCGGAAAGAGATTAAGGTGGCACCAACAGCAGTGGGGAGATGGTTCCTGCCAATAACATAAATCCATTTAAGGTTAGAGAGTTGCCCCCCCCCCACACACACAATTTTTCAAAGGAAAAGTTTCATTTTCAAACCAAAAGTGGTTACACACTTAAAGAAATTTTTTTCTTATAAATATCCAGGGAGGTCATGTTAGGAAAACACTAGCTTTGTAAATGAGGTAGAATACAATAAGGTAGAAAACAAGAGAGCTTTTGCCAGGGTCCCAAAGTTTGCGTTGTTCACAAGAGAAAGAAATTGTTACACCCAGGGCTCATTGACATCCCTGCAGCCGCGCTCTGTGAGTGAATCAGTAGTGTTGCTTCCCGAGAAGTCTGGACATACTGAAGATGCCCACTGTTTCAGAGTCTAGGGAACCACAAATTGACTTTATTCCCTTTGGCTGACCTTGTACCACAACATACATGATTCAGGAAAGTATGTGTCGTAGGGATCATAGTGGGGGAGACCAAATGGAGACACGCCAGCTTGATAACATCTCGCGCTCTGTCTGTCTCACAGGTGTGCTGGAATGGCCCTTTTGGACAAAACTGGTTGTGGTGGCCATTGGCTTCACGGGAGGTCTCGTCTTCATGTATGTACAGTGTAAAGTCTACGTTCAACTGTGGCGTAGGCTGAAGGCCTACAATCGTGTGATCTTTGTGCAGAATTGCCCAGACACTGCCAACAAACTGGAGAAGAACTTCTCATGTAATGTGAACACGGAAATCAAAGATGCCGTTGTTGTGCCTGTGCCACAGACAGGTGCAAATTCACTGCCACCTGCAGAGGGCGCCCCGCCTGAAGTCATACCGGTTTGATGGAACTGGAGGGGAACTTCGCCACGGAAGGATCTTTGCAGCCCTTGCCACAACACTCAGAAATGCTTCTGCTTTGGTGGCTTCCTTGTCTTCTCCGTTCCCCTACTGACTTGTTTGACCTGACTTGGAGCAAAAAGGAAATGAGGAGAAAATATCAAGTGAGCAAGATCCCAAGAAGCAGAGCCTGCAGTGGGACCTGGAAAGGTGAAGGGCCTGAGGGAGTGAGTTCGTAAGGAACGCTTGGTACGAGGCTTCCAGCGAAGAAAGATTGGATGGACATGTGATCCTCTTTCAATCAGTGCAGAGGGAATCCCAGAACAGACCTCAGATGCGGTATATGCTTCTTTAGGGAGTTCTGTCGTGTGAGCCTTCACCACTGGAAGTGACACACATCTGGTCCTAAGCCTGAAACTGTGTGCGTCGCCCCTGAGTCGTCGTCACCTCGGAGGCTAGCTTGGAGGACTTGAGGTTTTTTACACTTTGACAGCTGATTTTTTTTCTGGCTATTGTGAAGTCTTGTTATTTTGACAGATGCATGTTTTTTAAATGGATGCGACACACATTTGAAGATAGAAATGTTTGGAGTTTTGTTTAAATTTAAATCACGAAGAAAAGCGTTCCAGAGCATTGTGGAGCTTAGCTAGTGCCGGTTTCTGAAAGCAACTATCATGCCGTGTTTTATCTGGTCCTTCTCACACAGTGCTCAACAATAGACACGAGTTGCAAGTGCAGATGTAAATGGAAATCTCCTAGTGTGCCCTATTAGGAAAAGTAAAAATAGGTCAATTAATTTTTATAATTTATTCAACATTATATATACAGGTTACTTTATGTCATCAGTGGAAAATAATATTGAAATAGCTTTCATCTTTTTCTTGAACCAAGTCTTCAAAATCCAGCATGTATTTATGACACACTGCAATCTGAACGAAGTATGCTGGACAGGATCTAATTAAGGATATTGGACAGCAAAGCCTTCTCATTAAAAAACCACACCTGTCTCGCTGAACAGCTGAACATTTCAAAACAACGGTTTAATCCATTATTTTGTTTTGCAGTTTCATTTAAATGTTAATTTACAAAGCATTAAACTCATCAAATTAAGTATTCCATCTTGAATTCAGTGAAGGTCCAACTTCCCAAAGGGGTGAAAAAACAAAAGTATGGGGAGTCAGTGCAATCTGTAGCGATGTTATGAAGTTAACTTCTGTGTGGCACCCATAAAGTAATCATGAGCGGGAAATAAAAATTAAGTATCTTGTTACTAAACCAGATGTGTTAAGGTTTTAAAACCCATATGGAGTGTCAACGTGCCCGGCGAGTATCTTAACTAAGGATCTCAGCCATGTTCACACCTGACAGCATTCTCTTACTCAAAGTAGAAATATTCACGAGTCTATGGTGGGTGATGAGCTGGTTTCCAGTTCAACAGTTGAGCACCGTGTTCTATACAGATTCCCACAAACTGATCGGACATCGAGGTGAGCTAGGTAAATAGTCACAGAAAGTTATCTGTCACAGATCACATTTTTAAAAAGTGACTTTTTTAGTTAGCTGTCGTTATTTATTGTCCTTAAAAGGCAGAGATGGCCATTAAAACCAAAGCATGGGCATCATGTTGCACAAAGCTGGTACCACATCCATGCACTTTGTAATTATCAGTGTTTGCTTTTCTCAGATGATCAAAGGAAAAGGGGGAAAGAATCTTTCAATGAGAAGAGAGTATGATATTTGTAGTGATTGACACTGGGTCCAATTAGTCCCACCCTTAGAAATAAAGACATAGTAAACAATGTCAATTGTGTGTTTGACGTGTATATTCATGTACATAAACAAGAGAAATGTTAAGATATCCAGTCAGGAATCAGAAGCTTAAAAACTCATCTTTCCTAAAACTTGTGGGAGGGACAAAGCATTAAGTATCCAGGGAGAATATGATGAACATGATTAAACTGGACCAGACCTCCGGGGCAAATAAGGATTCGCAAGACATAAAGACATAAAAGCTTTGTATTAAGTAACTGAATAGTTTCCATTTTAAAGATAGAAGATGAAAATGAACAACAGAAAATGGATGGGTTGATCATAACTTCGGACAATATTTAGTTTTCCTATTTCTCCTCTAGTTCATTTTAGTAGGTACACAACTAATCCAGCATTCGGGAGGTTTGTTATCCTTTGCTACACTGCGAGTCCCGAATAGAGGCCAGCCTAGGCTATAAGACCTTTTCCCAAAAACAAAATATAACAAACAAGCTTTAAAATTACACAAATACAGCCAGTATTGAAACCATCTTTGCACATCTGAGTGGTAACGGGGTTTTCACTTAATAACAAAAACGTTTGGCTTTGTTGACCTGACTTAGAGCTCACGGAGAGACCTGCTTTCCAGAATGGCATCATCGTGAGGTGTGTTTACCCGCTCTGTTGTACAAAATAAATGAGCTGAAACCTAAAACTGGATTGCTGAGCTTACAGTGTTAAAACCGGATTTTTACAAACACAAAGTAAAGCTGGGGTATTAGAAGTGCTATAAACCACAGACATTGAAAATGTTTCTGTCAAGAGTTGACATTTCCATTCGTTGTAATTAAATATTCAATTGAGAAGGAATTAAAACACTTAAAAAGTGGAGCTCAGAGTTGGGAGAGATGGATCACTGGTTAGGACACTCTGCTCTCATAGCCGGTCCCGGTGAGTTCCCAGTACCCACACAACAGTTCACAAACACCATACCTGCTCCACGGTGCCAAACACCTTCTTCTGGGCTCTGAAGGTACCCTACCCCTGCCCACAAGGACAGATACACACATAATTACAAAGAACAAATCTAAAGTGACAACTCCCCCAAGCAGGTTAACTTTAAATATAAAAATAACAAAACCCTACAAAAATAAAGAAAAAAAAGATAACTTTGAGTCCCAATAACCCAGAATACTGCATGGCAGAGTCTTTCTCAGAATATCCCAGGACCAAAACCCCACCCAGAGCTGCCGCTATAGGTAATGATATTCCACAAGAACCCTTGAACTTAAGCTTTTCCTCTGTGGAAAGGACCTTGGGTACCCTTTAGACACTTATTCTTCTGCTGAAATGAGGTCATTGCCACACTGACATTATAAAAATCACAATGGTCGGGGTGGGAAGTAGCAAGGTCATTTATGCTGTGAGATATAACTTACCTGGCCTTGCCAATGAATATGTTGGGGCAAATATTAAGTGGGGAACCTAAAGCTTACCACTGTAATTTTTATAGTCGTGTCCTTCCATCAGCCCAATGGTGCTATTTTGCACAATGATACAATGAAAGGAAGTGTTGTCATTTGGGGCTGCAGCAGCAAGTCTCCCACACCTGAAGAAACCCACGGTGAAACCAGAGATAACGCTCAAAGGAGGAAGTATTTTAACGATGTGCAATTTTTGAGACTGGGCATTTGTACTTCTTTAGTTGTATCTAATTGTCTTTCATTAACAATTCACTGTTTGTGAGTAATGTGTGCTTACGACAACCTAAGGGAACTGTCTGTGAACTTTGTATATTAAACAAATGCTCCGAATCTTGGCTATAGCTCCTCTACTTCCTGCCTGTGTAACGGGATTCCTAGAGTTGTATTGAGACCATCCCAAACCATTGAATTCTTAAGATTTCATAATGGTCTGAGTCTTTAAATAGAATTTGAAGATACCTATGTCAAATCTATAGTTATTAATCTCGTGTTATTACTGGCAACTTGGGGGCCCCACTTAGGATGTCATGTTACTGAGAAAACTGGGGAGCCCTTTAGGGGCACTTAGTCTCATCAATAAAATAACTGAGAACAGACACAGAGGGAAGCTCCAAACCATTTTATTAGACTTTCATCAACCACAGGGCGGACAAAATGGAAATCGCAACAGCTACCGGGAGGACGAGACATTGCAGATGCAATCTGAGTAAAGATAGCATGTTTAACAACAGCTGTTAGCCACATTTTGAACAAGCAGGCACATAGACATGTAGGAAGGCTCCAGAGTAAAAGTGAGAGCCCAAAGGGTAAGGGAAAGCATGCCCAAGGTCAGGACCGTTCTGGAGGAAGACAGAAAAGAAAGAAATCACAGCTTTTTCTGAGAGGTGTGCAACCTAATAGAGCTTCATGGCAGCTCAATATTGACTGTACCTGGGAATGGCTTCCTAGGAAAGAAAAGTACATTATCTCATTAAAGAGATAATTATTCCTCCTCTCTTCCACATGAACTAAAGTGAACTGGCCTTCCTAAGTGGTAGATGGACCAGCACAATCAGACTAACTCTGATGTTTTGGGTAGCTTGGACTATTAGGTCTCCAAACAGGCCTGGAGTAGACAGCATTCTTTTGAAAAAGAAGAAATACCAGCCTTCAAAATAGATAAGAATAAATATACATTAGCCAAAGGAAATAATACATAAACTTCCAAAACCCATTTTGAAAGCATCTGAGGAGTATTACATTATGAACAAGGAGGCATCTCACAGCACACAGCTGCTCAGTTCCCACGGTGCTCTGTCAGATTGGACAGACAGTTCCTCCTCGTAGCCTGGGGCTGTTTGCACAGAACTTCCAGCTGCTAAAGCCCAAGTTTCTAGCTCCATCAAAGAAAAAGGCTTCAGGACAAGCCAACAGAGTTGGCCTCATTAAAAAGCAAAGGGTGCTTCCGGACAGAGCAGGGCACACCCACCCAAGAGTATGGTGTCTGCTTTCCTGGGGTCACCTCAGTGTGTTACAATGAGCATGTCTACATATGCACACTCGTATTCCTGCAGCTCCCCCAGTGTCTACATAGTCACTTACTATATATAATGCTTAAGGAGTAGACTAATAGGAAGAGAGTTCTGTCTTGTGGAATTACACGAGAGATTTACCACATGATTCAGGTCTCAGGGAAAACAATACGGAGTACAGTCTGCTTGCCTGTAAGATGAAAATGATACTACATCCCTTACAGCAAATACAGCAGGGCTTTTAAACACAGAGATCCAACAGATGAACATTGAGCAAACTAGTGTTTATGCATTTAGAAACGCTGAAAAAGTAATGAGATAATAATGTTAAAGTTAAGAAAAGGACTTAGTGGAAACTGCTAGTACCACAACTTACGAATGTGCACAGGGCCACACCTTTTGACTGGTATTCTGTAACAGTGACCTGCTGCCTGGGAACAGGCAGGAAAGAGACATCTGTGTCACTCAGCTGTTCTCTGAAAGATCAATTAGTTACTTTTGTGCTCTGTGATCTAAATTCCTAGCAGGAAAACAATTAAGGAAAAGTGTATTGTGACTCAGTTCCAGAACTTCAGTTTGCCACGGCTTAAGGACACAACTTGTCCCATGGTGGGAAACTGAACTGGACCCATGTAGTAAGGAGAGGGCCGCTGGTTGGTTCCTGGCCACTTAGCTCTGAAATAATCACAGAAACTGTATTAATCAAATCACTGCTTGGCCCATTAGCTCTAGCTTCTTATTGGCTAACCCTTACATATTAATTCAACCAATTTCTGTTAATCTGAGTATCGCCACGTGGCTGTGACTTACTGGCTAAAGTTCACAGTATCTGTCTCCGGTGGCTCCATGACTTCTGACTCCAACCCTTCTTTCTTCTAGCATACAGCCCAGCTTTCCCAGCCTAGTTCTGTTCTTCCCTGCCATAGGCTCAAAGCAGGTCTTTATTTATTAACCAATAAAGCAACATAGAAGGACCTTCCATACCAAACCCAGGCAGGTTATAGCCTTCAAAGAGCTGCCCCTATGGACAGCCAAGCCCCATCTCATAAATACTCCACAACCGTGAGAACAGCCCCAGAAGGTGCAGTCTGCATGTCCCAAGCGTGACCTTGTGGGGGGACATATAGAATTCAAACCACAACATTCTGACTTTGGCCTCAAGTTTATGGGTATCCCAAAATGCATTTAGTTAAACATCATCGTCATCTGAAGTCTCCATGGCCCTTGAATAGTTCCAACATTTGTCAAAAGTCCAAATTGTCTTCTGAGAACCAATCCAAATTTGGAGTGGTTCTCTGGAAAATCACAGAACAAGTTACCTCCAATGCACAATGGCACACAGTAAAAATGCCACCCAAGAACAAAGCCCATCAGTGCAATCCTGTGTTGTGTCCGGCCTTGAGGGCAGCTGGTGGCAGTGGGGTTGAGAACACTGACCCTTCAGACTCTCACACATGGACTACTGAGCCAGACTGATCACTCTGTTCCTGTCTACTGTCTCTACATCCTCCCATCCCCCAGCACTGAGACACTAGAAACCTGCCACACAGCCCTGCTAAGGAAAGAGACTCAGGCCCTCTATAGCACTTCACTGACCAAGCTGTCTTCTTAACCCCATTTTTCCAATTTTCCCTTCAGCAAAATTCAGGTTAAATGGCCTTTGAAGGACAATGCTGTTTTGGATGTAGATTAACATATCCTGTTTATGTGCCAGAAAACTGTCTCCCCTGCTCCCCCACCAGGACGGCGATGTTCAGAGCTGGCAGGACTTCAGGAGGTAGGGCTGGCTCCTCTCCCTGCCGCATACCCTGTCTTGCTTTCTATCAATGACGCTGTGGCTATGACGTGATACAGACAGAGAAGCCTCTCCACAACTACACTGTTACTATTTAGTCTCATCTGAGTTCCCAATCCCAAGTATTTAGCTATAATGAAAAGTAGATTAACACAATCTCTGTATTTTAAAAGCAATTTAAAGAAAAAGAAAACTTTTATTCTTAAAAATCATAAACCTATTTTGAAACTGCAAATGACTTATTTGAGAATGAGTTAAGCAGCAAGTACATATAAATAATCACTAAAAATTTATTTGTGCACACACACACGTCATGGTGTGCATGTGGAGTTAGAAGAACACTTACAGCACCTGTTCTTTCCACCATGGCTTCTGGGACTCAAACTCTGGCAGTCAGGCTTGGCAGCAGGGCCCCTGCTGAGCCACCTCAGCAGCCCCACCCCCATGATTATGCAGCATAACCAATGAGCAGGATGGTAGGGTCTCAAGGGATTTCACTAAGAGGAGGCAGGCACTGGGGTCATTTCTTCATCCGACTCACTTGCTTCACTTGTTGGTTCCAATTTCCCATCTTCAGAGTCTCTAGGGTCCCCAGTTAGATCTAATTCCCCTAAATCTTTGTCTATATTTAAAATGGGTTTCTGTTTGCGCTTCTTAGGAATTGCATCATTAGCACAAAGTTTCCTCATTTTGATGTTTGGCAATTTCTTCAGATCAAAATCCCATTCCCTAGGAAAAGGAAAAAAAAAAAAAAAAAAAGAGTATAGCACTGAGGGCCTTGATAGCACAGCAGGGCAGCCAGGTTCGGAACTCTGCCTGCAGAAGGAAGACCTCACATCCATGGATTTCACGAGTGTGAAATAGCACTAAGCTGGGGGGTGAGGCAACAGCCCAGGCCCAGGACTGGCTACTACTGCTACACTGGTGCTGCCTGCACAGAACCCTACACTCTAAACTTCACATATGTACACACACATCACAGGCTCTGAGATTCCCTTCTTCTCCCTACCCTAAGTCTCAAGACCCTCAGCAGTTAGAATTACGTCAGTGAAGGTGGCTTCTCTCGCACTGCAACTGGCCCGCCTGCAGAGCAGAGCAGAGCAGGGATGCTAACACACTAAGCTCATCTCCTCTCCCTGGCTGTGGAAGAGGCAGAATACACTGCCTCAGAAACACAGAGCAGTTTGTTTTTGAGTATGGTCTGGATTTAAATTTATCTAATTTCAATTATAAAAAATTCATTCCCTAACATGTTTGTTTGTTTGTTTGTTTTTTGAGTATGGAGTTTATTTGAGATAAAGGGAATGGGAAGGGAAGAAAGAAGAGAATGGGAGAGAGATACAGAGAGAGATAAGAAGAGACAGGAAAAGTCCTACCTGCCTCCTCAGAGGAACAGAAGGAAAAACGCTCCCTAACATGCTTTAGTAAAGACCATAATTACTAATAAAAAACATTTTCTAATAAGCAGAATCTGTGCTTGAGAAGCAGAAATCTGTTTTTCCAGCTTAGCAGTCTCCATGGTTACCAGGGCAGAATCAGAGCGATGGACCAGAGGTTCTCAGTGACAAGACTCTTGCCCTGGCGTCAGTTTTATTCTTCTGTTCTTGCTATTTAGCTTCAAGAAATAAAAATTTGCACTGGGGAGAAGAGACATCTCTACTGTCCTACTGTTCTGGGAAAGAGAAGGAGCGTCTCCAGCAGCAGCTGCATGCTCACTCGAGCACAGCTACAGGGAGGAACGCCTACAGAATGCTCTCCACTTTCGTTTTTACTAACATCTACACCCGGGGGAGTTCATGCCTTATGTATTTCACATGAAACTTCAAAGGATCTCAAAAACTCACCGAAAAGTCTGCAGATTATTAGTGTCTAAAATGTCTGGGATCTCTGAAAAAGAATATAATAGCCATTAGACATTTTCTTTCTAAATTGCTTGTTGTATTTTCACTTGTTATTGCACATACAACACAGTACCTGATGTTAACAAGACGAAAACCTTTCTAAATATATGAGTAAAAGTGACTGTGTACAACATGGACGTGCAGGTGCCTGCAGAGTCCAGAGGCGGGGGAACCTTTAAAGCTGGAGGTGCAGGCACTTGTGAGCCACCTGAACTGGTGGTTAGTATTGCTGAGCTGTCTCCCCACCCCTCAAAAAAAAAAAAAAAAAAAAAAAAAAACCACCTTCAAAGCGCTGCTACAGTCAACACAAATACCAGGCTTGGGAAGAACAGAGTTCAGTGGTGGGAAGCCAGCAGAGCTGTTACATAGGGTGCACCCAGCATACGTGGGTGTTTATAATGTAGTGCTATGGAAGACAACTTATTAAACACACACCTCATGTTACATTGGTAGAATTTACAGGATTGCAAAGATTATTTAACATTAATAAAATTGCATCATTCAAAATTAGAAAAAGTTTAAAAAGAATTACAATCATTGGGACCTCAAACAAGTTCGATACAATTTAAGTTACCCTGTAACTCACATGGGAGCTCAGTTAAGAGACTGACTTTGAGTCTCAGACAGGGACTTTCAAGGAGAACTGAATTTTTAAAATCTGCAACGTAAGATGGCTTTGAGGAGGAAGGCATGTTTAAAGAAAGCAATATGTTTGGGTGTCAAGTAGGCAAAGGTGGAACTATGGTCCTTAGTCCCAATTGTTAATTACATGAGATCCAGAATCACCTGGGAGAAGGGCCTAGGGATGCCCACGGGCAGCACCTTGAGCAGGAGAAGGGACTAGGGATACCCACGGGCAGGGCAGCACCACTTCCTGGGCTGGATCCCAGACTGAATGAAAAGGGAGCACATAGCACCAGCATCCATGGTGTCATACACCCTGTATGACATACAGCATCACAGCTGTGTCTTCATCACTACAACAGGCTTATGCTGTGAGCCAAAATAAGCCTCCCCCTTCCATTGCTTTTGCCAGGGTATTCTGTCTTAGCAACAGGAAAAGACACACATAGGACATCTTATATTCACAGGAAGTAAGTGTATGAACATCACAGGAGTAGTGGAAGCATGGTGCCACTCTTGTACGGTGTCAGGGACTTTTGAGCTAATCCTCATCTTTCTGAACCAGAGAAATAAGTCCTCTTTTTTTATTTTATTTTTATTTTTTTTAATTTATGTATTTATTTATTAAAGATTTCTGTCTCTTCCCCACCGCCGCCTCCCCTTTCCCTCCCCCTCCCCCAACCAAGTCCCCCTCCCTCGTCAGCCCAAAAAGCAATCAGGGTTCACTGCCCAGTGGGAAGTCCAAGGACCACCCACCTCCATCCAGGTCTAGTAAGGTGAGCATCCATGAAACTGCCTAGGCTCCCACGAAACCAATAGGTCCAGTAGAATCAAAAACTCTTTTTTTATTTATATTTTTTGAGACAGTGGCTCTCTATGTAGCTCAAGCTGTTCTGGAACTATGTAGACCAGGAAGGCCAGGAACTCAAAGAGAGCTGCCTCTGCCTCCAAGGGCTGAGATTAAGGCTATGTGTCACCAGGCCTGGTTTATTTTTTAATTAATTCATTTCACAACCAGGCTGTAGTTTCCCTGCCCTCCTCCCCTCCTCATCACTCCCCCTCCCATATATTTTATTTTTATTTTGAGGAAAATGAGCATGTTCACTTTTCCAGTGGGGTCCAGGGATCAAGTGTGATTGTGCCTAGTTCTGAAAAATACACTTTCCTTTTTTTAAAATTTATTCTAGGTTAAGAAACACATTTTAGCAGTAAAGGGGAAGTCTACACACTGCAGTTTCTAGTATTTTCCAGAGTTCTTTGGGATCTTATATGTTCATGCTCTTCATATTAAAACTTGATATTTTAACAAAGACAATATACGTTAACACCAAAGCCCCCAGGGCCAGGCAAGAAACACGAAGGAAGACGGTGGCATGACAACCGTCAAACTCTGCCGAGCTCTGCCAGGGACGGAATACTTCTCTGCGGGGGACTCTGCTGCCGCTCATCTGGTTTCCTAAGCCACACAGATGTAGGCTTTAGCCAAAATCATTATTTTTTTCTTTTGGATTTTATTATTTTTTTTCCATGACATTTATTGAGCTCTTCATTTTTCTCTGCTCCCTTCCCTGCCTCTCCCCTTACCCCTTCAATCCTCCCCCAAGGTCCCCATGTTCCCAATTTACTCAGGAGGTCTTGTCTTTTTATACTTTCTACTTCCCATGTAGATTAGATCTATGTAATTCTCTTAGTGTCCTTATTGTTGTCTTAATTCTCTGCGATTGTGGTTTTTACACTGGCTTTCTTTGCTTTATGTTTAAAAACCACCTATGAGTGAGTCCATGTGATAATTGTCTTTCTGTGTCTGGGTTACCTCACTCAAAATAATGTTTTCTAGTTCCATCTATTTTCCTGCAAAATTCAAGCTGTCGTTGTTTTTTTCTGCTGTGTAGTACTCCACTGTGTAAATGTACCACATTTTTCTAATCCATTCTTTGATCGAGGGACATTTAGGTTGTTTCCAGGTTCTGGCTATGACAAACAAAGCTGCTGTAAACATGGTTGAGCACATGTCCTTGTGGCACAATTGAGCAATACCCAAAATGGTATTACTAGGTCCTGAGGAAGGTTGTTTCCTAACTGTCTGAGAACTCGCCATGCTGACGTCCAAAGCGGCTGTACACCAGCTTGCATCCCCACCAGCAATGCAGAAGTGTTCCCTTTCCCCACAACCTCTCCAGCATAAGTTGTCACAAAATCATTATTTTAAAAAAATATTGACAGTATTTTCTGTATTGCCCTTGGACCGGGCACCAATCTAAAGTCATCAGCTCAGCCTACTGAGCTGGCCAGCGATCGTCAGTGTTGTCAACTGGTAGTGCGCTGTACTTATGCTTAGGAATGAGTATGTGGACCACAGGCTAACAAAGACAATGTCTTAATGCGGCTTGGAAGCAAGAGTTGTCACGGTGGGAAGGGACAGCTGTCTGGAGATGGGAGAAGACAAGCAGGGCGTGTGCTAGGAAGAAGCAGCTCTCACAGGAGATGACAGACATCAACTGTCATAGCTGTCCCTGCCACAAGGAAATAAAGCCAGAAGAGACTCAAGATAAATCAATAGAGTGATCCTCTGGAGTCCATCATAAATCAGATTCTATTTTCAAAAGG